AATTATACAATATAATACTTGAATTTTATGTGATTTACCTCAAGGTAATAAAGCAATAGGATGTAAGTAGGTATTTAAAAGGAAATTGAAACCTGATGGAAGTATAGATAAATATAAAGTTAGGTTAGTAGCTAAAAGATTTACCCAAAAGGAGTTGATTATTTTGATACATATTCGCATCTTGCTAGAACAACTACTATTAGGACATTGTTAGCATTAAACAGTATTCATAAATTGATCATTCATGAAATGGACGCTAAGAATGCATTTTTGGATAGTAATTTGACTGAAGAGATATATATGGAACAACCAGAAGAATTTAAAGTCAAAGGAGAAGAACATAAATCATATAAATTAATGAAATATATAGACTAAAGTAAGCTCCTAAACAGTATCATAAGAAGTTCAATAGAGTTATACTAAATTATAGATTTAAAATTAATACACATGATAAGTATGTATATTGCAAAGAAGATAACAACGAGAATTTGATACTTTATTTATATGTAGATGACATATTAATACTTGGGACAAATTTATGATTTGTCAATGATGTGAAGCTTATATAATTTTGGGAATAAAGTTAAGGAAAACATCTGAAGAAATTTCACTAAATCAATCTAATGCTATTAAAAAGATGTTGGAAAAATTTGAGCATTATGACAATAAACTAGTTTCCACTCCATATGATTCAAATGTACACTTGAAGAAGAATTTAGATAAACCAACTTTGCGATTTGAATATTCTCAAATTATTAGATCTTTATTGTACATAGCAAATAGGACAAGACCTGATATAGCCTTTGCTATTAGGAGACTTAATAGATATACTAGCAATCCAAGTAAAGAACATTGGAATACTCTAGAGAGAGTGCTTAAATATCTCCGAAATACATTAGATTATTCTATAAACTATAGAAGTTTTCTAAATGTTATTGAAAGATATAGCGATGCAAACTGAATAGCTAATAATGCAGATATTAAGTCTATGACTGGATAAATATATACATGCTAGGTGGTGCTACCATATCTTGGGTTTCAAAGTGATAAACTCTAATCTCCAGGAGTACTTTAGAGTCAGAGTTAATAGCATTGGATACAACATGTACTAATGCCGAGTGGTTTACAGATTTATTATTAGATATACCATTAATAAGTAAGTAAATTCTAGCTATTTCAATACATTGTGACTGTAGAGCAGTAATAAAGCTTGTAAATCAAACTCAATCAAATAAAAAGATTAATAGACACATTCAAGCATGACTTAAGTCAGTTAAAACCTTACTTAAGAGAAATGTCATTTCTCTCAATTTCGTGAGATCTAAAAAGAATTTATCGGAAACTTAACCAAAAATTTACCCAAAAAGAGTGTTAATGAATCATGGAGGTGGATGGGTTTAAACCCGTAAGGGAGCTACCTTCCAAAGTAACCCAACCTTTGTGATTGGAGATCCCATGAAGAAGGTTCAATGTGGTAGGAACAACCTGCACTGGCTGACTCGTGATAGCACTATATAATTTGTACTCATCCTTATGGCGATAGTGTTATGATTGTGACGTTAGAAAGTGTTTAACCCTAAATGAGTACTGATGGGAAAATTCTCGCTAGGTGTGGGTCATATGCACCTTTGGAGGACTCACCTATATAAGAGTTATGAGGTCGTGATTATGCGATTGGACTATTCCCTAGTGACTCTTACTAGAATCAAGACGAGCACATGACCATTAACAGCGTTACCCGTTATGAACTGAGTTTAAATCGATACTGTCTGTAGAACAACTAAAGTTTGGTCGAAGGGATCTAATTCAAGGCATAGTCCATTATGGCTTACTCAAATGAAAATTGTTATCATTAAGTAAGGTTCAAATTCAAAAGACATCTCCACTTATTACACAGTATAATATTGCCACAATATAAATATGTATATAATTATTTTGAAAGTTTTAAAACTTGTGGGGAATTGTTGAGAATAAAATTTAAAACTTTCAAATTAACATTTAAATTTCAAGTTTTTAGTTTTCATTTTTTAGTTTTTGTTTCTAATTTTTAGATTCTATACAAAAAACTAATCTCATTATTATATTTGTAACGTATGTTGAATTTGATTAATTTTTAACAGAAGAGAGTCAAATTTTTCTACTATAAAAGGAGGTGGATTTTTCATTGTTTTACACACAACAAATTAAACACTTGAAAATACTTTCTAGTCTTTTCATATTACTCTCTAATCATTTTATATTCTTTTCTTCTATAAATTTTGGCAATTGATAAGAGTTTGTTCTTTCTTTTCCTGTGATCGTGCCTAGAGAAGGAGAATCTGCTGCGAGTTATGAGAGTTTTATCTTGGAGTCATACAGTGCCAAAAATACCCGCACGAGGGGGGCCACACAACTTTAGAACAACGTTTATTGCAACTTTCTTAAGCCAAGCTTTTCTAACTCTATTCTCCTTTTTTTTTATTTGACTCATGCTTATAATTGATGGTTCATTACACAAATCACGTTATTTTACAACATAATTTGCACATTTAGAGTTTGCAGTGCAAATTTCAAGTTTACAATTGAAACTTCGAGTTCTAGTGCAAGTTTTGAGTTTGCATTGCAAATTTCGAGTTTGAAATACATAGCACGACCTGGTAGTAATTACAAAATAGGTTCATATTAAATATTGTCCAAATGCACTACTAAATCATTGTTTCGAGATGTTTTACGTATTGTGCCACATTTAATAAGCACGTTACTTCTCAATACATTTCATAGTCTTCTTTCAAGGATGCTAAAATTGTACAAAAGTCAAACCATAATTGATTAACCACAAAAAATAAGAATAAATCACAAAGAATAGCATAACCTAGTTAAGATCAACACCACTCATAAATGTAAAAGAATGTGGTGTTTTAAATGCATTTAAAGTATTTTCATAATCATCGAAAAACTATAGCATCTAAAAAAAAACCCTTCCACTGAGCAATAAACTACTTAATAAATATTTTTGATTTCATAGAAAATTCAGAATTTAATTGAATGAAAAATAACTTTCATATTTTTATAAATGTATTTTTATCATCAAATAAAAAATATTTTTAACTAAATGAAAACTAATTTACTTTATATACTGAAAAATCAAGAATATTGCAGGGATCAATATGCATTTGGAGTCCCCACACGCTCACGTACCGTAGGAACATAAAACTAATTTACTTTATATACTGAAAAATCAAGAATATTGCAGGGATCAATATGCATTTGGAGTACCCACACGCTCACGTACGCTGGGAACACATTTTGATTTTTTTTCCTTTTTTTTTTCTTTTAAATAAAAGAGGCGCGTGTAATACAACTACAAGTGTACTAAGCCTTAAAGGGGACGTTTCATACAATTTTTCTTTTTATTCCCCTAATTTTAATATTTTGAGTTCATTTTTGTTGTCAGAATTCAAAAATACTATAGCTTCAAAGACCCTTTGTGGGATGACTGTATGCCAAAATTGGTGTTTCTTGCCTTATCAATACAAATTTTGTTGTATTTTCTTGAGAGAATTTTATCCTTCCGCTTTCATGTCCAAGGAATTAAGGGAGTTTTATTTGGCTATAGTTGGTGGGAACTTCTCCCTTTAACCCATTTCATGCTACAATGATCGGGTTAACCATGCCCGTTTCCAACACGACATATTAAGCCTCTGTTTGACAACCATTATTTGAAAAAAATTAGAGTTTTGAACAGTGATTTTTAGGAGATTGTGTGATTAAAAGGGAGAAAAAAGTTTTGAGTTTACGTGCAGAATATTTTATTATATAAATGTGTAGTTGAAAATAAGTGTGTAAAAAAAGATTTAAAAATAATGATTATCAAACAAGGGCTAAATGCCGTGGCATTTTGCAATTTCATTTTCAGGTGGTAAAGAAACCCCAAATGGCAATGAAATTTCAGTTGAAGCATCCACCCAAAAGAACAAGGCTCATGACAATTGCATGGTCTGTCCACTTGGGGATTTTAAGCAAACAAGCAACTGATAGCAAGCCTATATACATCTCCTCTGCCCAAGCAAAAACAGTGTTACTTACAACTGAAAATCCTTTGAACATTTGCTCTTAACTTTCTTGAAAGAGCAAAAATGGCTCTACTACTCGAAATTCTATCCATCTTTGTACTGTTAGTGTTAAGGCCAGCCACGGCCGCTGCACCTTCATGCTCGACTGTCACTGCGAAACTGACCTCGTGCGTATCATACATTGACGACCAATCTGCACAACCAACAAGTGACTGCTGTGCAGGAGTGAAGAGTATTCTTGCACAAGCAACGTCAAAACCAGATAAAATAGCTACCTGCAACTGCATAAAATCGGCCTTAGCCATTGTGGGAAACAAGGTTGATACCGGACGAGTTTCTAGCCTTCCTAAGCAATGTGGGATGTCTGTTAATCTTCCTCCAATTGATAAAAACTATGACTGTTCCAAGTAAGTTTACTGCTCTTGATCTCTTCGTTCCTCAACTCGCCATAAATCTGACTTCTGGTTTTTTGTATGCAGGATTTCTTGGTATTTCCCGTGAGTGTTTGCGGAATAATTTTATGCTCTAATCCGAATAAAATTGAGAACCTAATTATGGAATAATGACAGCTATGTTTGGATAATTAAATCATCAGCAAAGTTTATAATGCACTGAGATGTTCTGCACGTCCAGTTTTTTCAAGATTTGTGTCACAATATTGTAAAATAAAAAGTATGGTATTAAAAGTTGGACAGTCATTTCAGCGAATAATATGACTTGATCGATCGACTAGTACACATTTTGAAAATCGTAACTTTTGGAAACTTCGGGAATAGTTTAGAGATGTCGAAAAGTAAGAATGAGAAAAACTATACTCCGTTAACAAACTTGAAAAACCGAAAAATAAACACGAGAAATATCAGAATGAAAATACAAGTAGTTCAATAATTTTTTTTCCATACCTACTCTAACATAATGGAAATATATAATCTATTCCAACATCTAGCATATTGTAATTACTAATGAGGGTGAGCTTCATATTACGATGACAAAACTGAGCATTATTCTCAACAAATTTAGGTCGGTTATGTGAATCCTTACATAAATGAACGCCATTAATGTGCAAATCATTGTAATGGTAAAAAACACGATATCATGATCAGCATTCATTGCAGAAATTAGGATTACAAAATATGAAAACTAAATAACAGGACTGCTCTATTAAGACAGATCTCTATACCAGATGAAAGCTTTAAACCTAACTTTGCCTGTGTGTAGGCTTGACATGCCTAATAGAGATTATTGTCAGATTTCATGGAGGTGAAAGTATCTCTCCCCTTAAGCTGGGACTTCTCTTCATCCAATGGCGGAGATGACTGCCCAGGAACAGAATCAATGAAGAACTCCTCCACTGAAACGAAGTCACGTGAATGTGTGAAAAAAGGGTAGAAAAAATTCCATAGCAAGCAGCAAATAAGGACCAAAACTGTCATTCCATCGTGTAGAAAACTAGAAATAAATGAACTAATTTTCAACCTAAACATAGCCAAAATTTTATAAACATCAAAAACTTGATTCATGCAGGATACCAAGAATTTGGAGAGAGAATTGAGAAGACTGAAATATTTTTATTCAACTAGGCCCCTCCTCAGCAAACTTGGTGGTCTTATTATATAATGGAACCAAAATCCCAGTGGTGGAAGAAAATCTCAAAATCGACTTAGGCCATTTATGATGTGACCTTTGATATGTCTATTCTACATATTTCTCCGTATTTTTGTTTATCAACTACTATTGGCTCCAATGGTTGGCATAAAATACACTTAAGAAACTTATCGAACTTTCATTGAAATGGAAGCCTTTACCAATTCTTCAAGTCAAGTGCTTTAACATTTGTCGAAGTAATCATCATTTTTGAGTAGGAATTAGCTTCATGATATTGCATAAATGAACATAACATGGAAACTTGCGACACAAAGATTGCTGTATAAGACTCGGAGAACTTTACCTCAATTCACAGCCATGTAGTGAAGGAATATAGAATTGGGAACAGTATCATGGCAAACAAACAAGGCCTTTTTCTAGAATTAATTAGCTATATAAGTCAAAGGAGGTCTGAGTCCTCAAGAATAGAAGACCATTAAATTCTACTAAAAAAGCAGCATCAGATTAGCACTTTTATCTCCCTAAATCTCATCAATGTCAATAGAAGTGAAGTGTACTTAAGGAAATGGCTGTTTCCCTTTTTACCTATATCCTTTCGGTCTGGAGAATCAAGAAGAATATCTGAATCTGAATGCAAAAAGGGAGAACCAGAAGAGTTTCCAAGAGCTCCTAGTTCTGGAAATATTTTCATAGCAACAAGCACCATTAATTACAGTTGTTTAAAGGGGGTAAGGAAAAAAAAACATAGCAGCATGAAGGAAAGAGACTTTCTTGCATTAAATTGTTATATCAAAGCATATAACAACTGATTAGGAGAGGATTACCTCCCAAGCTTGATAGGTCTGCTGTTAGGTCCGAAAGGCTGAAATTCCAAGATATTTGAGCCCATGAACTGAGCGAATCTCTAGAATTCTCATTTCCATTATCTGCAGGAAGCTGCAGTCCTACTGAACTAGCTACATCAGACGTAAATGCCATATCAAATGCTGATGTTTCTATTCCCATGCTCGATATCTCCGAAGCAATGAATGGGAAATGGCCACTCGAAGCCACTGATGTTGGGCTTACCGGCATATCTGATATGGATAGCATTGCATTGTTTGTTGTCATAGCAGGAGCATCAGTTCCGTTTGTGTCAATCACCATACTTCAGAGCAAAAAAAGAACTATGATTGTCAGCAGAAAATATACCAATTTATAATAGTTTCATCATAGAAATTTCATATATCTCCAGAAGTTTATAACTAACTTGATTTCTTTTCTGATACACTGAACTTCAACGAAAAAATGTAATTGTTTTCAGGCTTCAACGCATGTTAATATCCTTAAGAGAGATTGAAAATATATTTTTAAAGTTGTTTTACGCAAAGATATCACTGTGACAACATATCAAAGAACTGGTCAATAGAAGGAGCAACAATTTAGCACCTCAATTATTGATCAAGTGAAGAAATACGCTCCAGAAGTTAAATGGTAAAGATACTTTGGCAGGACCAATTGCAATAATAGTTCTCGTGCAGGTTTATGTATAGCAAGATAAAAACATATATGAAGCGAGAAGATTCGATAAGCATAGAAGAGATTTAGGAACTACATGAAGGAAGAGAAATTCATGGATATCCAAATTCTTTTCAAATGTCAGACAAGAGGGGAAAAACAGAGAGCTGATCCTAGTAGAGAAGAGAGTTCTCACTCATTTCCAGAATTCATCCGCATTGGATGAAAATTGCCTGTGCCAGGAGCAGGAACTCCATTTACTACGTGACAGATATTTGTGGAATAACCCATATAATCAAGAAGAGATTGCCCTGTAGCTGGAACTGGAGGCTGGTGCAAAATGGGATATCCCATAGGTAAGTTGTTGACTGCAATGCAAACAAGTGGCATTGAATAACGATAATAAAATAATACGGAAAAAAGCAATTTAATACACACAAAATAGCTGTGATTCAACCCTTTCAGTGGCCTACTCATCTACATCCTACTCCAAGAATAGAGAAAGCATTAAGATCTAGAGGGAGGGGGGCTCGAAGAGGGGAAGACACATGGAGATAACACTGCATTTTCCAGAGCAACTTAATTGCCAAAATCAAAAAGGCCGGTTCCAGTAGACAAAGGCCGGCCATAAACACCATGATCTCGACAGCAAAAGCCTTCCTTCATGACAATTAATGATCAAGTAAAGGACACAAAAAGAACAATAGAATCTGATAGTAAAAACAAGCTTAATAAAAAAATTCAAATGGATATTTAAAATAATTGTCATGAATCTTTTTTGTTGAACCATGGAAGACCTGTTTATTTTTCCATTTTAGTAGAGCGATTGTGTCCTGGTGATTAAATGATTGCAATATTTTCTGAGATAAAACTTACATAAAATGTATTTCTACCAAATCAGCAATGACTTAGCAGTACAAGAACAGCGAAACACACACACGAAAATTTTCAATTCTAGTCAGAAATTGTCGTATCTTCTAAGATACTGTGGCATCAGGAATGAGAATTTCACCATACTGTTGGCAGACAACAGATATATTATTTATTTTTAAGGGAAAAAATTATGGAAGGGCACAGTTTAGGAGACAGATGTGCATCCATTGAACCTAAGTTAACAATGAAGAACTAAAACATGAAGAGTATTTTCAATTTTTATTTATTTTTTTATTTTTTGCACCAACAGATTTCTTTAACTCTCTCACGTTGCATAAGCACTGTAGATCTGGCGCAATTATCACTTCTAATGGATACAAGAACAATTTAGAATCTCATCATTGAGTTTTCAAATTAAAATATAGAATATAGTATTTTACTCAAATAAACGACAGAAATTAAGATTTACCTGGCATTGGATGAATTCCATTCTGCATAGGAGCCAAAGGAACCCTTGTAGGCATTGGATACTTCATTAGATGATACTGATGCTCAAGCAAGTGATTGAATAAGAGAATTTGTTTCTTCAATTTAAGCCTTATGTAGTAGCCCCGGAAAAAGACAGCATTTTCTTCTTCTAATTTCTGCCAAACTATATTGATAAAGAAAATGAAGAAGAGAAATGAATATAGAAGATTCGGCAATGTAATTAAATCAGATTTTAAGCCTCAGAGAAGCATATATCAAAAGAGCAACTAATCATAGTACCCAGATGCCAATGCATAGGAAGTTTCTTTTGATAACCTGAAAAATACCTACCTAATGTTGTGAACCCGGCATCTATCCTGGCACTATTCAGTAAGGTCTTTACCACCTCATCTCTATTCATGTATAACAGTAGGCATCGTTCGATCAAATTCTGGACCTGTAGCAGATTATGAATACATTTTGATATAGAGATCGCAGGCAAAAATTCTTCATGGAATTCTCAAAAAGAATGAGAAAAGACCAAAAGAGAAAATTGCCCTACAAGTTCAATATCCTCTCGCGAAACTTTTCTGTTATCAATGGTTGATGCTGAAACTGAACCTGAATCTGGCACAGGAGTCTCTTCGGCATTCTTTGGTTGTTCATTTATGGACTCATGTGAAGCCTGATTAGCAGGATTAATTTCGGATGTATTATGTGGATCCTAAAAAGGTTCTTTATTTAGTCATGAGCTGACTAAGAAAGTGCTACTCAGAGCAAATGTTGGAGCAGAACAAAGCAAAATCATAAACATAAAATATCTTTCATAGATAACAATAGAAGCTAGATCAACCTGTGTCTTCTTCATTTTAGCTAAGTGCAATCTGGCTGTGGACATCCATGAGGCTCTTGTATCTTACTATCCTTTGTTCAAAACTGCCTCAACCTCCTAGATAAATAATCTGTGAATAAACTGAAGCACTTCTCCCTGCCTGGAAAGTAGAATTTTCTGTTATATATTCTTCACCATCTTGAACCAAATTCCAAACAAGACTAAAATGAAACAACTGAAAAATACTGGTCTTGATGGGATTGAAGTGATCAAAAAAACAAATGTGGTCTTCATCTTCGCAACATAATGGTTCAATTATTGCTTATTTGGTAAGGAGGGTTGGACAGTAAAAGAAATATTGAACCGAAAAAAAATAATAAAAATAAATCTCGTGTTGTGATGTCTAGCACTGCCAAACAGATATCTCAACAGACTAATGCAATGAGTTTAAGATGCTTTGTGCGAACTTCAAATTTTTATGGTATTGCAATAACAATCTCAAGTTACAATAACTTATTGTCTGGCAAGACAAAGGTTTCATGTGGTTTATTACGTCCACTTGATGCTGCATATTTCCATTAAGAAAAAGAAGGTTACAATGGTAATATTGTGCTTCTCAGTGTGTGTCTCAAATTTCACCGCTCATCTCTCAAAGTGAACCAATGAATATGGTGACCACTAGTATGTGTTTTCACTGACATGATCACACTTACTATGTTATCTTAACAAACATTACTTCAGCATAAACCATCAGAAATGTGAGAAATTTACATTCACCTAGATGTTCAATTAATTGTGCAACCACAAGATGAGTATAAAAAGTGACTTGAGATTCCATATTATAGACATAAATTTATTGATTCAGGAAAAATGGGCTGATAAATCTCCATTCTCAGATAGAATACAGACAAACATTTCTTTTTTTATGCATCCATGAGCCAAATATTTCGCCGTTCATTTCCTTCAATGCTGGTGAATCAAACTGCTATAACTAAAAAGGAACTTATAGAGTGATAGGACAAGAATAACAACAAAGATCCCAATACCAAAATTTCAACACACGAAATTTTTAAGACCCGTTCGTATAATTCAAACTGTCGAGTGATAAAAAAAATCGGTGTTCACATTAGAGAATGTATTTGGCACATTACAAACGAAGTTTATTCAATAAAAAATCAAGCAAGCAAAATTATATTAATGGAAACATGTACACAAAAACATGTATCTACTATTAGACACCAGAAAGTCCATAACTTTTCTTCTCTTTTAATCTTTGCATCCACTAGCCCAATTTTATTGTTGCATCTCTTCCTTCAAATTCAACATCAATTAATAATCCTTCCACTGAGCAATAAACTACTTAATAAATATTTTTGATTTCATAGAAAATTCAGAATTTAATTGAAGGAAAAATAACTTTCATATTTTTATAAATGTATTTTAATCATCAAATAAAAAATATTTTTAACTATATGAAAACTAATTTACTTTATATACTGAAAAATCAAGAATATTGCAGGGATCAATATGCATTTGGAGTACCCACACGCTCACGTACGCTGGGAACACATTTTGATTTTTTTTCCTTTTTTTTTTCTTTTAAATAAAAGAGGCGCGTGTAATACAACTACAAGTGTACTAAGTCTCAAAGGTGACGTTTCATACAATTTTTCTTTTTATTCCCCTAATTTTAATATTTTGAGTTCATTTTTGTTGTCAGAATTCAAAAATACTATAGCTTCAAAGACCCTTTGTGGGATGACTGTATGCCAAAATTGGTGTTTCTTGCCTTTTCAATACAAATTTTGTTGTATTTTCTTGAGAGAATTTTATCCTTCCGCTTTCATGTCCAAGGAATTAAGGGAGTTTTATTTGGCTATAGTTGGTGGGAACTTCTCCCTTTAACCCATTTCATGCTACAATGATCGGGTCAACCATGCCTGCTTCCAACACGACAATTTAAGCTCTTGTTTGACAACCATTATTTGAAAAAAATTAGAGTTTTGAACAGTGATTTTTAGGAGATTGTGTGATTAAAAGGGAGAAAAAAGTTTTGAGTTTACGTGCAGAATATTTTATTATATAAATGTGTAGTTGAAAATAAGTGTGTAAAAAAAGATTTAAAAATAATGATTATCAAACAAGGGCTAAATGCCGTGGCATTTTGCAATTTCATTTTCAGGTGGTAAAGAAACCCCAAATGGCAATGAAATTTCAGTTGAAGCATCCACCCAAAAGAACAAGGCTCATGACAATTGCATGGTCTGTCCACTTGGGGATTTTAAGCAAACAAGCAACTGATAGCAAGCCTATATACATCTCCTCTGCCCAAGCAAAAACAGTGTTACTTACAACTGAAAATCCTTTGAACATTTGCTCTTAACTTTCTTGAAAGAGCAAAAATGGCTCTACTACTCGAAATTCTATCCATCTTTGTACTGTTAGTGTTAAGGCCAGCCACGGCCGCTGCACCTTCATGCTCGACTGTCACTGCGAAACTGACCTCGTGCGTATCATACATTGACGACCAATCTGCACAACCAACAAGTGACTGCTGTGCAGGAGTGAAGAGTATTCTTGCACAAGCAACGTCAAAACCAGATAAAATAGCTACCTGCAACTGCATAAAATCGGCCTTAGCCATTGTGGGAAACAAGGTTGATACCGGACGAGTTTCTAGCCTTCCTAAGCAATGTGGGATGTCTGTTAATCTTCCTCCAATTGATAAAAACTATGACTGTTCCAAGTAAGTTTACTGCTCTTGATCTCTTCGTTCCTCAACTCGCCATAAATCTGACTTCTGGTTTTTTGTATGCAGGATTTCTTGGTATTTCCCGTGAGTGTTTGCGGAATAATTTTATGCTCTAATCCGAATAAAATTGAGAACCTAATTATGGAATAATGACAGCTATGTTTGGATAATTAAATCATCAGCAAAGTTTATAATGCACTGAGATGTTCTGCACGTCCAGTTTTTTCAAGATTTGTGTCACAATATTGTAAAATAAAAAGTATGGTATTAAAAGTTGGACAGTCATTTCAGCGAATAATATGACTTGATCGATCGACTAGTACACATTTTGAAAATCGTAACTTTTGGAAACTTCGGGAATAGTTTAGAGATGTCGAAAAGTAAGAATGAGAAAAACTATACTCCGTTAACAAACTTGAAAAACCGAAAAATAAACACGAGAAATATCAGAATGAAAATACAAGTAGTTCAATAATTTTTTTTCCATACCTACTCTAACATAATGGAAATATATAATCTATTCCAACATCTAGCATATTGTAATTACTAATGAGGGTGAGCTTCATATTACGATGACAAAACTGAGCATTATTCTCAACAAATTTAGGTCGGTTATGTGAATCCTTACATAAATGAACGCCATTAATGTGCAAATCATTGTAATGGTAAAAAACACGATATCATGATCAGCATTCATTGCAGAAATTAGGATTACAAAATATGAAAACTAAATAACAGGACTGCTCTATTAAGACAGATCTCTATACCAGATGAAAGCTTTAAACCTAACTTTGCCTGTGTGTAGGCTTGACATGCCTAATAGAGATTATTGTCAGATTTCATGGAGGTGAAAGTATCTCTCCCCTTAAGCTGGGACTTCTCTTCATCCAATGGCGGAGATGACTGCCCAGGAACAGAATCAATGAAGAACTCCTCCACTGAAACGAAGTCACGTGAATGTGTGAAAAAAGGGTAGAAAAAATTCCATAGCAAGCAGCAAATAAGGACCAAAACTGTCATTCCATCGTGTAGAAAACTAGAAATAAATGAACTAATTTTCAACCTAAACATAGCCAAAATTTTATAAACATCAAAAACTTGATTCATGCAGGATACCAAGAATTTGGAGAGAGAATTGAGAAGACTGAAATATTTTTATTCAACTAGGCCCCTCCTCAGCAAACTTGGTGGTCTTATTATATAATGGAACCAAAATCCCAGTGGTGGAAGAAAATCTCAAAATCGACTTAGGCCATTTATGATGTGACCTTTGATATGTCTATTCTACATATTTCTCCGTATTTTTGTTTATCAACTACTATTGGCTCCAATGGTTGGCATAAAATACACTTAAGAAACTTATCGAACTTTCATTGAAATGGAAGCCTTTACCAATTCTTCAAGTCAAGTGCTTTAACATTTGTCGAAGTAATCATCATTTTTGAGTAGGAATTAGCTTCATGATATTGCATAAATGAACATAACATGGAAACTTGCGACACAAAGATTGCTGTATAAGACTCGGAGAACTTTACCTCAATTCACAGCCATGTAGTGAAGGAATATAGAATTGGGAACAGTATCATGGCAAACAAACAAGGCCTTTTTCTAGAATTAATTAGCTATATAAGTCAAAGGAGGTCTGAGTCCTCAAGAATAGAAGACCATTAAATTCTACTAAAAAAGCAGCATCAGATTAGCACTTTTATCTCCCTAAATCTCATCAATGTCAATAGAAGTGAAGTGTACTTAAGGAAATGGCTGTTCCCCTTTTTACCTATATCCTTTCGGTCTGGAGAATCAAGAAGAATATCTGAATCTGAATGCAAAAAGGGAGAACCAGAAGAGTTTCCAAGAGCTCCTAGTTCTGGAAATATTTTCATAGCAACAAGCACCATTAATTACAGTTGTTTAAAGGGGGTAAGGAAAAAAAAACATAGCAGCATGAAGGAAAGAGACTTTCTTGCATTAAATTGTTATATCAAAGCATATAACAACTGATTAGGAGAGGATTACCTCCCAAGCTTGATAGGTCTGCTGTTAGGTCCGAAAGGCTGAAATTCCAAGATATTTGAGCCCATGAACTGAGCGAATCTCTAGAATTCTCATTTCCATTATCTGCAGGAAGCTGCAGTCCTACTGAACTAGCTACATCAGACGTAAATGCCATATCAAATGCTGATGTTTCTATTCCCATGCTCGATATCTCCGAAGCAATGAATGGGAAATGGCCACTCGAAGCCACTGATGTTGGGCTTACCGGCATATCTGATATGGATAGCATTGCATTGTTTGTTGTCATAGCAGGAGCATCAGTTCCGTTTGTGTCAATCACCATACTTCAGAGCAAAAAAAGAACTATGATTGTCAGCAGAAAATATACCAATTTATAATAGTTTCATCATAGAAATTTCATATATCTCCAGAAGTTTATAACTAACTTGATTTCTTTTCTGATACACTGAACTTCAACGAAAAAATGTAATTGTTTTCAGGCTTCAACGCATGTTAATATCCTTAAGAGAGATTGAAAATATATTTTTAAAGTTGTTTTACGCAAAGATATCACTGTGACAACATATCAAAGAACTGGTCAATAGAAGGAGCAACAATTTAGCACCTCAATTATTGATCAAGTGAAGAAATACGCTCCAGAAGTTAAATGGTAAAGATACTTTGGCAGGACCAATTGCAATAATAGTTCTCGTGCAGGTTTATGTATAGCAAGATAAAAACATATATGAAGCGAGAAGATTCGATAAGCATAGAAGAGATTTAGGAACTACATGAAGGAAGAGAAATTCATGGATATCCAAATTCTTTTCAAATGTCAGACAAGAGGGGAAAAACAGAGAGCTGATCCTAGTAGAGAAGAGAGTTCTCACTCATTTCCAGAATTCATCCGCATTGGATGAAAATTGCCTGTGCCAGGTGCAGGAACTCCATTTACTACGTGACAGATATTTGTGGAATAACCCATAGAATCAAGAAGAGATTGCCCTGTAGCTGGAACTGGAGGCTGGTGCAAAATGGGATATCCCATAGGTAAGTTGTTGACTGCAATGCAAACAAGTGGCATTGAATAACGATAATAAAATAATACGGAAAAAAGCAATTTAATACACACAAAATAGCTGTGATTCAACCCTTTCAGTGGCCTACTCATCTACATCCTACTCCAAGAATAGAGAAAGCATTAAGATCTAGAGGGAGGGGGGCTCGAAGAGGGGAAGACACATGGAGATAACACTGCATTTTCCAGTAATCAAGAAGAGATTGCCCTGTAGCTGGAACTGGAGGCTGGTGCAAAATGGGATATCCCATAGGTAAGTTGTTGACTGCAATGCAAACAAGTGGCATTGAATAACGATAATAAAATAATACGGAAAAAAGCAATTTAATACACACAAAATAGCTGTGATTCAACCCTTTCAGTGGCCTACTCATCTACATCCTACTCCAAGAATAGAGAAAGCATTAAGATCTAGAGGGAGGGGGGCTCGAAGAGGGGAAGACACATGGAGATAACACTGCATTTTCCAGAGCAACTTAATTGCCAAAATCAAAAAGGCCGGTTCCAGTAGACAAAGGCCGGCCATAAACACCATGATCTCGACAGCAAAAGCCTTCCTTCATGACAATTAATGATCAAGTAAAGGACACAAAAAGAACAATAGAATCTGATAGTAAAAACAAGCTTAATAAAAAAATTCAAATGGATATTTAAAATAATTGTCATGAATCTTTTTTGTTGAACCATGGAAGACCTGTTTATTTTTCCATTTTAGTAGAGCGATTGTGTCCTGGTGATTAAATGATTGCAATATTTTCTGAGATAAAACTTACATAAAATGTATTTCTACCAAATCAGCAATGACTTAGCAGTACAAGAACAGCGAAACACACACACGAAAATTTTCAATTCTAGTCAGAAATTGTCGTATCTTCTAAGATACTGTGGCATCAGGAATGAGAATTTCACCATACTGTTGGCAGACAACAGATATATTATTTATTTTTAAGGGAAAAAATTATGGAAGGGAACAGTTTAGGAGACAGATGTGCATCCATTGAACCTAAGTTAACAATGAAGAACTAAAACATGAAGAGTATTTTCAATTTTTATTTATTTTTTTATTTTTTGCACCAACAGATTTCTTTAACTCTCTCACGTTGCATAAGCACTGTAGATCTGGCGCAATTATCACTTCTAATGGATACAAGAACAATTTAGAATCTCATCATTGAGTTTTCAAATTAAAATATAGAATATAGTATTTTACTCAAATAAACGACAGAAATTAAGATTTACCTGGCATTGGATGAATTCCATTCTGCATAGGAGCCAAAGGAACCCTTGTAGGCATTGGATACTTCATTAGATGATACTGATGCTCAAGCAAGTGATTGAATAAGAGAATTTGTTTCTTCAATTTAAGCCTTATGTAGTAGCCCCGGAAAAAGACAGCATTTTCTTCTTCTAATTTCTGCCAAACTATATTGATAAAGAAAATGAAGAAGAGAAATGAATATAGAAGATTCGGCAATGTAATTAAATCAGATTTTAAGCCTCAGAGAAGCATATATCAAAAGAGCAACTAATCATAGTACCCAGATGCCAATGCATAGGAAGTTTCTTTTGATAACCTGAAAAATACCTACCTAATGTTGTGAACCCGGCATCTATCCTGGCACTATTCAGTAAGGTCTTTACCACCTCATCTCTATTCATGTATAACAGTAGGCATCGTTCGATCAAATTCTGGACCTGTAGCAGATTATGAATACATTTTGATATAGAGATCGCAGGCAAAAATTCTTCATGGAATTCTCAAAAAGAATGAGAAAAGACCAAAAGAGAAAATTGCCCTACAAGTTCAATATCCTCTCGCGAAACTTTTCTGTTATCAATGGTTGATGCTGAAACTGAACCTGAATCTGGCACAGGAGTCTCTTCGGCATTCTTTGGTTGTTCATTTATGGACTCATGTGAAGCCTGATTAGCAGGATTAATTTCGGATGTATTATGTGGATCCTAAAAAGGTTCTTTATTTAGTCATGAGCTGACTAAGAAAGTGCTACTCAGAGCAAATGTTGGAGCAGAACAAAGCAAAATCATAAACATAAAATATCTTTCATAGATAACAATAGAAGCTAGATCAACCTGTGTCTTCTTCATTTTAGCTAAATGCAATCTGGCTGTGGACATCCATGAGGCTCTTGTATCTTACTATCCTTTGTTCAAAACTGCCTCAACCTCCTAGATAAATAATCTGTGAATAAACTGAAGCACTTCTCCCTGCCTGGAAAGTAGAATTTTCT